AGGCGGAAACGTCACAGGGTAAGACGGAAACATTCGTATAAACCTCATGGAAGTGGCGACGACTGTCATACATGTGCTCTCACTGTAACAAAAAGCGATGCGGCCGCTGGGTTATGGTCCACCGAAGGTCACAGACCTGAGCGGCTATGGACTGAACAAAAGATTCCACATCAAATGCAACCACAGCCATCCCAAGCCGTGGTGCGACGTCAGCGACAGCAAACAGCGGATAACACGGTAAATGGGTTGGGATAGGGAAGAATGTTCAAATTATCCGTGAAAATGCACCCATGTTACTGGATAACGTAGACATCGCTGACCATCCTGGCTCTATCATCCTACTCAGCGTTCCTGTCTGCAACGACAGGCTCCAGTGGGACTGCGTATGCATTGTGTGCGTGAACAGCTAGGTGCTTTCATTCCAGAGTTATTTCTGAAGTTCTGCAGGATTTGCACACGACCCCACTTGGAGGACCATAATGTCTTCGTTCTGCCACAGCTTAAAAGATGCACGAACATGGTGGAGAAAGTTCAGAGGCGAGCCACGAAGGGGGCTGCTGGGATGCAACTAACACCATATGAGAGTAGAATAACAGACCTGGGCCTATACTGTCTAAGTTACCGAAGGTTGAGAGGTGACTTGATAATGGCTTACAAAGTACTGGACAACCCAAGCCACCCGAAAAGAGGAATACTACCGAGTGCCCTCTACGGTGATCCACGTGGAAACCATATGAGAACTGACCACCAAAGGTCAAAAACTGGTGTGCCTTCTCGCGCCTTCTCCCTTCGGGCCTGTGAGCACTGGAGTGCATTAACAGCAGAGGTAGTCTCCGCGCCATCCGTTGAAAGTTTAAGAAAAGGCCAGACAGTTACGCAGAGACCCATGGTGTACGCGCATATAGTCGGAATACGAATTAGACCGAAGAAATCCACTCTTGTCACATCATTCCAGCCATGTTATCTCTACACCAGCTTCCTTTCTGCTGTTATCATCCAAGCCCCTTTCATCCCTAGGGACTGGCCTCATCTGCCTAAGTTCTTCATATCTTTGCATCTCCCTCGCCCATATTTGGGTGTAAGATTACTCAATTGGTTCACTTTTCTTTGCCTTTTACTCACTTACATCTGTCTTTCCAGGTTTTCTCTCCATTATCTATAGCTCTCTCTAACGACCAGTTCAAACAACTGTCTGGAAACTGGACATGAAAAAGCCAACTACACTACACTCCTTGGCAAACTAACCAAGACTCAACTTCCTGTTCTATATACCACAGCTATAGCAGATGAGTGGCTGGATCTGCCGTACCGGAATCCGCCAGGAACTGAGAACTGTTCCGCAAGACCAAACAGCAGAAAGCAACTGGTTAACACAAGTCCGTTAAACAAATATTGGAACTTTGCAACTGCTCTGTCGAATATTTGAGAGTACTGTGAATGATCATTTTAAGCAGTCGGACAAGATTTTCATAGTATTTTACTTCCCAGATGACATCAAAATTAGGGCGGATAAGAAGTGGTTTTTCTTTTTGCAGCTAAACAGTAAGGCATTGTTGTTTGTTTGCATAGGTAACACAAACAGAGATCAAGCGACTGCTCGAAAGAGACGCCGAAATGAATGGGTATTCCAGCTTTCTTGTTCCTACAAGATTCTTAGTTCTGTTAGCACATTTGGTGCTCTGCTTCTGTTCTGTTTTAAATGATGTTAGTACCGTAGTTTAAACTGTATGTTTCTCAGGGCAGAAAATCACAAAATTATGGAGTATCTTACAGCCAACTGGCAGATGAATATTACGAGTAAGATTGGTTGTAAAACGCAATTGCAGATATGTAATTTCTTACTCTCTCTCCGTTATATTTTTAATTCTGGAACTTTGCGGTTTCTTGAGTGGCGCTACAATGTTCACAAGCATCCAAAGTATTATATGTAAGTCACCATTACCATAATTTGTTCGAAGCCATTTCATGTCACTTTTCTGGTACAATATTGACAGCACACTTTATCATCAAAAAGTGGGCGATTACTTCTTACTGGTATGGATTTGCATTTACAATTTGTCTGCCATTATTGTTAGAATGCTGGAATGTCATGTCCAAAGTTTGGTTCAGAAACAGCCTGTGATACGGATGGCTTATGGTGTTGATAATAACAAGTTACTTTTAATAATTCACTGTTTTGATTTACTCCGAATACCCGGGTCTCTTTTTTGAATTCCAAGTAATGTTGTCTCTTTGTCTATCTTACGGAAATACTCTCCTACATCCTCTCTGAAGTAGTAGTTCCACTTACTGCTTTTGCGCTCGCTGTTTGAATCCAATGTTCCAAATGATGCCTTACGTATGCTGGGTATAAGATTCGAAACGTATTCTCATTAAAGTTCCGGAAGGCTTTTTGCAAGGACCGTGAGATGTGAAAAATTGGCAAACACCAGTCTGCAGCTAGCTTATATTTTGAGGTTAAGACTATGACACCCAAGCCCTCCTGTTCAGTTATTTCAGGCAACAGCATGGATCGTCATGACCTAATTACATGACTACACTCTTGGTGATGATAATTTCTAAGTGTCATCTCGTGAACCGACCCACTGGATAATTTAATTAGTCCTTTTGGAATACCCTATCCTCACCACTGTGAACAGATCTCTATAGTTCGTGGTCGTCCGCAAACATACGGAGAGAAGACTTACTCGTCCAGGGAAACTAATTCATGTAGAGAAATGGACCCGAGGCACTCCACTTTGCTAGTTTCCATAAAGACAAAGCCCTGCTTACGCTTACTTTGTTTCGTATCACAAAGAATATCTCTGACGCAGTTCCGGACTACACCATCAAAAACCAAGCTCTACAGCTTCATTTTGAGACCTAGGTGACAGACCTTGTTGGAAACCAATGAATGTCACATCAGTTGGAACACTGACGTTGTTGGTAGCAGTCGGATCCTCTTTTGCAACCACGAAATTTATTCTTTCACCAACAAAAAATTTTCCATCAGATTTTAGATATTCAATATGACTGATCGTCCATAAAACCAATTGCAAAGCTCTGGTCTCGTGAATACCGTTGCCGTATTGTCCAAGTTGGACACAGAAATAAAGCTATTTGTTTGATACAGCGTAATCTTTCCGTTTTGTCGTGCGAAATTTCACATGGATGAAATGATATTGAGATAATCAGCACTTTTATTTCTGTTTTTGTGCCAGCCGATGCATAGATGTCTATTGAATATGATTGTCCCCCTTCATATATTTCTGCAACCAAGATAAACAAGCATTGTAAGATGGATTGTACAGGCATAATTAAGCACGTAAAGTGAGGGACCCAGCACTTAAAATGGAAGTAGGATATAGAAGTAGTATTCATCATGGACTGATATCAGTTGGGGAACCACTGAAAATCTGGGAACACTGGACAGTAGAATACACAACCCAGCAAGCAAGCTAGTACACTGAATCACGAACCCGATGAGTAGTAACTTTAAATAACAGGCCGTCTTTCAGGTTGAATGGGCTTTAACCTACGGTTGACATCTGGGAACTGAAACCATTGAGTTGAAGCAGGAAGTTGCATTAAATCCGGTTATTCACAGAAACTGGAATTTTTTGGAATTGCTAAGCAGTCCCACTGTTCTCTATCTACTAACTAGTATGTTTAGAGTACTGCGTGAAATTCTTGAAATTAAAAAATCCTAATTTCACTGACTTACATGCCTCTTTCGCCAACATATGCGTATAAGTGGGCTGACATAGTGAGATGCAACGGTTTGGAAGTTGTCCACTTTCTGTTGTGTGTTTGGCCGGTATGTAACGACTATGTTGATGGTTGAGTATGTTCTTCCCAGAGTATCAGCGTCTGTGCTTAGCTATTCTGTCAACCGCACAACCTCTTAAGTTATAATGCATGAAGATAGGTCCTCACATTTACTGAACTCAGTTGTTGTTTCATAATGCTTGTGGATGAATTTTAGTGCGTCACAATAGAAATGCAAAGAATGCATCTCAAATGACTTTGAATACTACCGTAACGATTTCTAACTGGCGTAGAAGTCGACATCATTATGCAACTTGTCGCCACTACGTGACGATTCATGTTGTCACACCTCAAAGGAAAAGATAAGAGTAATGAAGGAATTAGTGGTGAGAAAGAAAGCTGGCTATTTACAAGCAAATGAAGAGAATCCTTGGAATATATAAATCCACATAATACACCCACAATGGTTTTCTGCGATTTGTCTACAACTGAGAAGTCAACATTTTCTCTCTTCTGACTACTGTTTGAACAAACAAGTGGATCAACGTTCAAGTGCGTAATACGAATACTAAGTGTTATTTGTTGAATAGTAGAAGCTAATTACATCTCAGACATCCTAATTTAGAATGCATAAATGGAAATCTGATGCTTTAATCAGTCATCAATGAAAATTCACACAGTCAACTAACTACCTAAACTTTGTCACTTTCAGTCAATACTATAGCCTCTAATAATACCCCTAACGAAAAGAAGAATAGGAATAACGCTATAATAACAACTTTAAGGTGTACAGAACAAAAATTGTAGAAAATATTTCTAATCAATTTTAGTTTAAAATCAGTGAAATCAAGTTTTGAACATTAAGAAGTACAAAGCAGAATAGAGATTAAAAGAATAATTTATAAATCATATTGAAATGAAACATTTTACAAAATGTCATGTTCTTTTTCTTTGAAAAGAAAGTAGATACATAGATAGGTGCAGGAGGTCTTAGGTGTTACAACCCAGTAACATTTATTCACAGACACGGCGAAAGTAAAATCCTTTTTCATCATAATCTTCTGTGTAACTACACACAAGAGCAGAAAAACATGAAGTTTATTTGAAAAGTTCTGCTTGAATAAGCAAGCCTGCGGAAAGGGAGGATGGCAGGTAACAAGGTTCAGTCATGAATATATTTCTAAAAATAAATGAAATAAAAGGCTTTACGTAATATTGTGAAGATATAAAGTAGTACATTGATTGTATATTTCCTATACCGTTCCGATAAAAAGTTCAGGTGATGCTGTTTCAGCAGTTGCTAGTTGTTCGACATGACTTTGAAATAGGGACAATTTCAAAAGATCAAATTGTTTAGTTATCACAGATGGACTTGTTGATTCACCAAGTACAGCAGTTTGTTGCAGTCTTTCATCTGATTTAACTTTATCAGCGTTTATTACCTGGAAAGCTTCAACATCGTTTCTATGTTCTTCTTCGTCATCCACATCTTCTTCATCGGTTGTCACATGTCCATTTGAAATAATATTTGGATATTCTACATCAGGTAGGAGGCATTCTTGTAAGCCTAGATCACTAGTCACCGCATACGGCATACAACCACGCTGAAGATAAGAAATAAAGCATGAAAAGTGTACACACATTTAATTTCCTGTATGGGGTCCACAAAAAAAGCAATCAACATCAAAACCGAATATTTCATTTACCCATCATACCAGAAGAATTACTTGAGTGCTCTAATGAGATTTACACTATATGTATGGTGGAGAATATTTGTAGCTCATGTGAGTGGGGTCTTGGTTGTGTTCTCTAAGTTAGGTTGTTTAGTCGTGGAGCTTTTTCATCGTCTTTCTACACGACAATATCATCAGCACTAATTTCAGGATGAAGTTATGTACCACGTAGGATGATGTTCATCTACGATTATTCATCTCTCCAATGGTCTAGAGGACACAGAATTTCTGTATTGTGTTTTTCAGAGACCATATGTTTTTCTAGTCCCCGACAATTTCTACAGATTAAGAACAAGACATGTATATCAGCCAAGAAGGAGCATTTATTTCCAACGACTTCATTATCAAGCTGTACAGTTGTATTTAGACTCAGTAAAGTGATAGATAATTGCACTAAAAAGTTGCTCAATCAATATGCAAAATATTCAGTGACCTATTTTCTATTTCTTTCACTTGAACAAACACCACCACCTACACCTGTTTTACATTTTGCATATTGATTGAGCAATTGTTTGTAGTGCAACTATGTCAGTTTACCCAGTATAAATATGATTGTACAGCTTGATAATGAAGTCGTTGAAAAGAAATATTTCTTCGCTAATACATGTCTTGTTCTTGTTCATGAATTATTATTATTATCATTATTTGTCCTTTGGGTTCCTAGTGGAATATAAAGCTTCAGCAGCACGTCTCCATTGCACTCTGTTCTCTGAAATCTTTTGGACCTGGCCCCACTACAGCCCACAAGCTCTTATTTCTTCCTCATACAATCTCCTCCATGTCACCCTTAGCTGGGACGCCCAACTCATTGTTTCCCATCTAGGTTCCAATCGAGGGCCTGGCGCATGATGTCCCCAGTCGGTCTTCTCAGTGTCTGCTCAATCCATCTCCACTTCCTTCTGTATATTTGTTAAGCGATAAGTTATTGGTTGGTTCGTTGCCAGAGTTCCTTGTTCATGAATAAATGGGTATATTTCGTCAGTTCTAGTAATAGATAAAATTATATGACAAAGCCCCGAAGTCTCCAAACATCCAGTGTACTCCATTTCCTAAATCAAGTGCAGTAGTTTCTGAATGAAATATACACATATATATGTTGTTTTTCATTGACTATTTTGAAGCGCGCGAAAAACTGGATCGCTGTGCTGCAGCACTAGACTCCACGCCGTTTGCTTTTTCTATTACAAACAACTAGTTAGCATATTTCATTTCAGCTGTAAAGAACCAGTCGTACTAATACAGGTAGACTGCAGACAGACGAAATTAACAAAGAACCTTACACAAACAAAAAGATGGTTCAAGTTGTCACACTTCACAGTAGTAATACAGAGAACAACTGGATAGGATATCAAAGTAGACAAAGGTGTATGACAAAACAACGATTTTTAAAATCAAGGTTAGTGAAAATGTTTAAGCTTTAGAAGACATAAAATAGTGAATATATCTATACCATTGTGACCGATTATCAGCCGATTCACCAAGAGCCCCCAACCACATATTCCTATCGCCTTGGGGACCTCAACCAGGTAGTCTACATCTCCCTTACACAACTCAGATTAGCAGTCAGGGGATTCATGCACTGATAAGTAAACTGCATATATGTGCAAAACCGAATTTTTTTTAGTGTAAACACTTGTAGTACATGCCAATTCACTGATCAATGTACTAAGATCGTGCGTTGAATTACACTCCCATTCCACAAGTTTTCAGTTGAAAATCGAATGCAATAACCCCTTTAAAAATTTGTCCTAAAATTTGAAACTATAGGTAGGAAGTTACTTGTGATGACTAAAACCTGAGCGATCATAACGAAATATAACCTGAAATAACTGTAAATTATGTTAAACTGACGCATCTTCAAACCACAACACACAAATAAAGGAGGATACAATATGCATAACGCAGACGAACCAGGATAAAATGTAAAATATTAAGTTTCCGCCTGTTAAGTGAAGACGGTGACAAAATCCAGGGTCTTCTGAACGCATTGAGCAGATGCCTGTACATGTTTGGCATGCGTTTTGCACGTGTGAAATATAAGATGATGCTCCAGAACTGGTCTGCTGCAAGTACTCCCAGTTTAATCATAGGGAATGAAGTGGTGGAATGTGTCGACCACTTCACTTACTTGGAGAGTTGCGTCAGCCTAACGGGTTGGTTGCTGACGAAGTCACAGCTCGGAAAGGGAAGGCCCGTTTGGCACTCACCAACTTGCGTCACCTGTGGCACCAACTGGCGGGATATCCCACCGTCCATCAATGGATGAGTATGCTGCGCTGCAGTCCGTTCTGTCTTTTTGTATGGCTGCGATAAGATAAGAAGAGGTTACATGTGTTTGCTCATAGGTGTCTTCGTAGTACTGGTCGCGTTTGGTGGAATCACCGTGTGAACATTGTCGACGTCAGGCGAAGGGTACTAGCTAAGATAGGCAAGTCGATTGATGACGTTGTTAATCTTCATCAACTGGGATGGCTTGAACATGTACTTCGCAAACCGAGCAACCACCTACTTTAATGTGCCATACTAAGGAAAGTTGGATTAGGTTCGAAGAGGGTCCAGAGTGACTACACCAAGACCTGGAACCAGTTAGTGAGGTCTCTAACTGTTAGTCTGAGCCGTGTGATGCAATGTATACTGCCTTGTTGGAGTCAGAGAGACGAAAGGAATCTGTAGTTGTGGACTGTAGGCGACACGGCTGAAAATAGGTCACAATAGCGCAGATGTATTCACTTCTTGGTATCTTCTAAAGCTTGATTGTTTATTCTCCTACACAATTTTGTCTACTTTGATATCACTATTTTTCTATCGACTTGCTCTTTTATATCACTGTGGTGGTGACTTGAGCCGCTGCACTTATGTGCGACATTCTACGTTGATTCTATGTCTGAATGGCGGGCGACTGCCCACTGTTAACTTCCTTTAAAGACGAAATATCTTCTAAGCACGATCGGAAAAAGTGATCTGAGTTACAAATAAATACATGACATTAGGCGTCGAAGATCCTTCGAGAAGTGTATTTCGGGTTTATTCGGGCAGAACACAGCTTCACTGTAGAAGTAATATTTTAAATTATTACTCTCCCATGCAGCATACATACAGAGATATAAAATCAACAGGAAGGAACTGACTGACCGAAAAAAAATCAATGTAGAACCTCGCACACAGATGTTTCGGCTCAAGTTGCCACACTTCACAGTAGTATAGAAAGAACAAGTGGATAGAATAGGAGTAATATCAAAGCAAAGTTGTGTGAGAACCCTCTTCGAACCTAATCCAACTTCCCCTAGCATAGCCCATTGAAGTAGGGCAGTGGCTCGCCCTGCGCAGTACATGTCCAAGCCATCTCAGTCGATGAAGATTAACAACGTCATCAATCGACTTGCCTTTCTTGGCTAGTACCCTTCACCTGACCTCAACAATGCTCACACGGTGATTATACCAAACGTGACCAATGCTACGAAGACTCCTACGATCAAAACCCTGTAATCGCTCTATATTTTCTACTTGTAACACTTGTGTCACAGCAGTATAAAGGGACAGAACGAATTGTAGCGCAGTATACTAGTCCTTTGATAGGTAGTCGTAACACAAGAGGCGGAAACGAGTGCTCCAGTGTGTGTGCAGTAAATAAAACCCAACTTTAATAGCAAAATATATGGTTAATTTACTACGATAGTGACGGATAACTGATATAATACGAAGAAATGTTTTGATAATTTATACAATTTACCAGGTCCTTTGCATAAATTGATGCTCCATAATCCAATAGTACTTCAACAATATCTGCATGACATCTTTGTGCAGCCCAGTGTAAAGCGGTCCAGTGGTTCTAACAATAATATACAAAAAACATGGTCTAGAGAAATTCCAAAATGTATTATGAAAGTAAGGAGTCACGAACAAGACAGCCAATCGATGACTTCGAAGGGTATGGTGGTTAAATAGCTGGGACGTTTGTAATGCAGCCTATTTAGTGGCTAGCAGTGGAATTCAGGACACGCGTTCTAACCCATTTAGGACTCGCCAGCTAGATGCACGTCCACCATAGTGAGTGATTTTATTCTCACTGAGACTCGGATCGAGTGTCCATCACTTCAGATGCAAGGGCGTTGTCCACTAGGGCACGAGGACCACATGTGCAACGAGTACCAGTTGTTGCTTAATGATACTTGAGATTGAAACTTCTGTAAGTTCCTCACTTTACGGTCAGATAGATTAAGAATCCCATGGAGACAGAAATACATAGATATACTTTTATGTCGTTAGTTCAGTCAATGGAGGAGTAACTTCCACGCTTATACATTCCTGTGACAATTTGCTGAACATATAAATACGTTCGCAAAGCTACTCAGTATCGATTAGTTAATGAGTGGAAAAAACCAAGTAAAATGTAATACGTTAACACGATACCAGAATAACGGGATGAACGAACCACTGGTAAACTCAAGTAGGTGGAGTGGAGTTCGAACTCGTTAGCTAGTGGTTGAAAGCTAACTAATGAGCCACATTCTTATCTGGTGTGAAGTGCCAAAATGCTACTGGGATGCTGTCAAAAATTTGTGATTTCATTGGCATAAATCCATAAAAGAATATCAACTTGATCATCTTGAGATATAAGGTGTAGAATATAATTTTAGGAAAATACTGACGATTAACCCAAAAGGTACTTTAGAATGGATCAAATTTACCTTGTCTGTGGCAGCCACATCAACGCCACGATCTAGTAGAGTTTTAACAAGCTCTAAATGTCCATGATAGCAAGCAAAAAGTAGTGGGGTAAAATCAGCCTGAAAAATATAAAGTTAGAAGAAATGAAACATGATACTTTGTCACAACAGGCAATCGTGCTTTTTAGTTGTTGATAAAACTTATTCTTACTGCTCAATTACTTACCTCTGAGTCACAATCATTTTGAGAGCATGATCTTAAACTCATATTATCCATTTCTATGCCTTTTACAAGATTGTTCGATGTCGTTTTATGTCCATTAGAAATGGATTCAATTTCAGCATTACCAAACAATTCTTTTTGCTTACATTTACTCATATACTTCAGAATTAATTCGAGATTTTCTAGTATTTTTGTCGACTCTTTAGATTTAGTTCGGCATAATTCATGCAATGGGATTCTTCCATTCTGAAGAAAGAGATGTAATAAGAGAAAATGGGTAAATCTCTGAGTCAGAGGAATCTGAGAAATAAAACTTCTAGTAGTTATTACGTTTAAAAAACTGGAAGGATAGTAGATGTGTAGTTTTCAAACCAGTTAGTGTGTGAAAAAGTTTCGACTGATTGATTCAACTTTATCGTGGTTAGAAAAACAAATGTACCTACCTGTTTAGTAGAGTCTGACATCTAATCAAACGTAGACAATCCGTTTAGTCAAATAAGCTATATTGAACTGGATCGGAAGTAGAAATTATGTTTACTTTGTGTTGAGAAATATGTCAATCCAAACGCTGTAGTAAAAAGAACCTACATACCGATCAAGTGAACGGTCTAACAACACCGTATTCACAAAAAATGCCTAACGTTTCATATATCATCACAGCAATTACTTCTAAAAGTAAGTTACTAACGTGGTAGGCGTAGAAAACTTACTGTTCTATGGTAGTCAATATACCTAGTAACTTTGAGAACCTGATCATTTACGTAACCGCTTGGTTTTAAACCTGAGTCAGGCATCTGAAGTCCAGTCTAACCACCAAGTTTCAAACAACAAGATATTATTAACATCAGCTAGTGTATAAAAAACTGTTGGTTATTAATTCACTGTCAACTTTGAAGCATGCTATTTTGTTAGCGTTACTTATCCCATATTGAATAGGTCACTACATTATCTTGCTATGTCCTTAAAATCAAATTTTATTTGATCAGACTTAAGTCAAAGCTCATATTCTCTTAGTCCAAGTTGAATTATGATAAACTGTAAGAGATACTGGAAACGACGACATATCAATTAACTAGCTTCTTCATGAAATTGAAATCCACTTTGCTAACATATGGATATTCATGCAGTAGGCAATAACGAGCCACGTCTGTTGTATGAAAGCTGATGATACTACTTGAATGATCAGACTTCACTAGATGGAGTAATGTTAGAATCCAAGACTCATCAGTTGAAAACTAACTACACAAACCAATGAGGTTCTTGTGAAATGATTTATACTGGTGTTAGAATGATGGAAACTTAGTTGAATAAAATAATAGATATATAAGTGAGGTTTGAAGTAATGATACATAGAATATATATAGGCAAAAAACAGGATATCAACAGTGATGGAAATAGATGAAAGTTATAGAAACCATTGGAGGTAATCAGTGCTTCATATGAATAACTGTTTTTAGGGTTTTCAGAATATCCGACCTCCAACTAATTACTGGTATTAATTTGCAATTCTATATGACTTTTTTTATATGCTTATATAGTGTCAAGATGTTAAAGAGATGGCAACTTAATACAACCATCCTTTGCTATATGCTTCTGCTATTTATAAGACCATGAATTTATATGCAAGACTCTTAGATGGCCATTTGAGTATTCATACCCTAGTTTATGGTGTGTATGTGAAGCTGCTGCTTAGTGGTTTGGGGTCACAGGTTCAAAACCTACTCCACCTACTGAGATCTGGGTAGCCAGGTAGTATCCCTAGCTCTCACACAATAAGTGTAGCTCACTGCTTCTTCTTCTTATGATGATGATGATGATGTGTATCCTTTGTATAAAGTCTACTGATATTTCATCAAAAAACTTTGATAAGTGGTGTAGAGTGAAAATGTATGACTGATTATTTGAATTTAGAATATGTACATTGAAAAAGTTATAACCTAGCATCAACCTACGTGATCTACGTCGTAAAAAGCAGTAGACATAAATGGAACTACCTATCGAGAAGTCTTTAAACATATATCAAGAAACAGCTGTTCATCAAGTCACATTATCCCACCCATTCTTAGTCATTGAAGCAACTAAAATTATAGACTTCCAAAAATTATGAACACGAGTATCTGATAGAAATTTAAAAAATAAGATTCCCTTAATTAAGTGAAATATGCTCACCTTATTCTTTATAAATGGACTGGAACCACTGGTCAACAACATCTCTGTGACAGCTGGATGATTCCAGTAAACAGCATTAAACAACGGTGTCCACCCATTTTTATTAGCTATGTCAACATCAACACCTGAAGCCAGAAGCATACTCACGTTCGTCTTATTGCCTGACATAGCGGCATGATGTAAAGCCGTGTTTCCGCCCTAGAATCTCATAATGGAAATATTAACACATACTGAGTCAAGTGCATTGATATTAGCTCCAGCTTGAATAATCATTTGCAAAATACGAGGTTTCCCTTGAGAGCATACATGTATAGGATAACACTCATACTGAACGATAAAAAAACAATTTCAAAATTGCTATACCACATAGGACCTCCAGTTGACATCCACACCGATTTCTATAAGCTTTTTAGCTGCTTCTTCTCGTCCAAAACTACAGGCAATCCAGAATTGCTCCTGTTTAGATTTGTAACGCATCATTTGACCGTTGGTGTGGACAAATATTTACTTAGCTACCACTAAAAGTGGAGAACTTCCACAGTCTGAAAAACAAGCGAAGCAATGAAAGATAAAAACAAATCTCATTCGAACAACACCAGTTGGTTGTTTCACCTCAGAATGATCCATGAGACTATACAAGTTAACTAATACTGAATTGGGCTGTTGTTACTTCAAAGTATCAGGTGCTTCCCATCGACTGTGAAAAACCGATTAGGGGTGGACACGTTCTTAACCTCTGAAAACTGATTTATGCTTTTGCTTTGCCACTTACAATGTTCAAAGTTAATGGGTCGATTTAACAATGGAAATAAGTGTAAGAGAGAGGCCCGAAGGAAGGGGAAACAAAGGAGGTCGACAACCACATGTCAATTACTTCTAATGTATTAGCAACACTTTTGTGAGACAATCACTTCAATAATATTCTATACTCACATTTATCGAAGTTTTCATTATTTTTTAGCTGTTATGTTAGTAGCTTTTCTAGATTAGATGGTTACCTTAATTGCTTGGAGCTTGTAACTTATAGCCTTATACTTAATACGTATACATGGTTTTAAATCATCACTTATATGATGCACTCCAACAAAACTCCTAGACAGTTAATTTCAGTCAAAGCACAGGATAGTATAACTTTCTCACAGAGGATACCATTACGTGACAAACCGACAAGTCGTACGGATAGTAATAACACATCCCCCCCCCCCCCCATAGGGTGTGCAGATATGGAAATTGAGATTTCCTGCAGTAATGCCTGATCACATTCTGATTACAATTGACTGGATTATTTTGATTTCTAATATCAAGTAGGTTTTTGGAAGCGTAAATGAAAATTGCAGGTGCTTTTTGGTTTCTTATAACTTTTTATTACTGTAGGACCGGTTCATTAGTAAAACTCATAATTAATGGCTAACGAGTTTAAAACCTAGTTTCTCTATAGGCATTTCATGACTCAGACATCACAAGTTTTAGCTACATAGGTGACCAAGAATCTACTGTGTGAATCTGTTCATGATTGCTGAAATGCATTATTATTTAATTCACTCATCTCCTAAACTACTCTCCATCATAGTGAAACCTGAAGCCTTGTTTACATCCTGTGTATTTAAACTTAGATGAAAACAAAAAGCTAATGGAATACAGTGCATGTTACGACTACTTAAATGCGTACCTGCTGCAACTGCTCAAGAACATTACTAGTTATTAAAACAGTATGGTGCACCAAAATGCTCCCAGTATTCCTACCAAAAACATACGGATACTTACTGTCGATAGAATAGGCTTACTGTCATCTTTGGAGGATGAAGCAAGAATGTTCAAATGGGTAGGGAGGCTGCACAGTGTCAAGCATATAAAAAGACAGATTCCTTAGTGTGAGAAAAGGGATAATAATAATGGGGACTGTTACTACTGCATAACAGTTCAAGTCACCATATTTCATCTGCACATCAAGTGGGAATACATCATGATGCATTAGTTTTAAATCTTGCAAGATTTAAAACTAAAAAGCAGTCAAAATTGATGAAATCCTATCCAGCAAAATCCAACATCAATAGCGCAAGCAGGGGAAAATTTTAGTTTCTGAGCTCTCGCTTCTGGGTCTTGAGGCTCAGTTCTCTTTGTTCGGCTGTACTCCTTCAGTGGTCGCAGAAGTCATAACGTTTTTCCTGCTTATAGCGTTGGAGGTAATGATTGCCTATCAAGTGTCCAGGCAGAAACAACAAAGCATCCAAATTTTAAGACATGGGACTTCAAAAGCATGGATTTGTGATTTACTTTCTGACCACAACTGAAGCTTGTAATCAATCCCGAACTTGTCAATGTTTTGAAAACATGTGACCTTGAATGGGAGGCACTTGAGGAAGTAAAACAACTGAAAGAGGATATTACTTGTGTAATGAAAAAGACTGGATAACCAATAGCCCTGAGTTCTTATCTGACTATATGAATTCCAACTCTCACCACCGTAAACGTCTTTAGTATCCATCTTCCATAGTTTAGTGGGGGAAACTGGTAGTTTCAGAGGCCTCACATCTAAATTTTAAGGCTTGGTTTTTGCTAGTCATTTTCGCCCCTGTAGCGCAAGTAAGACTCGTCTCCCTATCTGGACATGGAATTTTCTCGCAGAATCAGGACAGATAATATCAGTATACTTTCTAGAGAGAAGTTGGAAGATATAGCGTCACACGCTTCCCCGAAGGCAATGACCTAGAGTTTGACGATGCTGAACATTGATGCTGACCTTGATAGTTTAACTGGACTCGCTGAGCTGAGGGCACCCGGTCAAGCATCCTCGCTATTTGGCACGCTGTCGTGTTACGTCGCACTGCTCGTATTCGACTCTCTAGCCAGTTAGTTGGAACTCGTCGGTATCTTGGCACAGCCATCCAAATATACTATTCCATCCGACCACGCTATTGTGTTCTTCCTTGGTCTCGTACTCGTGGGTATATAACAAGTCTGAATAATTAGTGATTGGCCTTTGTGTCTGTCAAGTTCGCACCAGGACAAACCCTAAAAAGATAAGACAGATAAATGAAAACAAACAGAAAGAGCAGTAAATATTGAGAAGAGTAGTGGTGAACTTAGGAAAAGTTGGTAAGATCGCTGATGCCTTGAATATGCTTCCCGTAACTCTTATGAAGCGATAAAATTTTCAAGACTCCTTTCATGTAAGTCCACCTGGGGAGTTTCAACTACACACTATGATAAGGCGTCCCCCATGATGCACACTCTTCAGGAAAACGAGTTTCGCTGGAACCTTAGTCTAGCCTTCTGTCATGCTGTTATGATGGAATTTCCTCTCGGCGGCCAACCTGTCGCTAGTGAGCCTAGTTTTCTGCGTGACTAAGTTGATGGATGATCTTCTTAGCCATGATAGGTCACCCCTCTCTCTGAAAGAGTTTGAAGTAGCTTTTGCTGTGTCGCCCTGTTAAGACATGTTTTCCCGCTACTCTTCTGACCGACCTCGTCGCAGATTCTTGTACTTTGTCAAGGAGATCGGAACCTTTACATAGTACGGAGGGTGGTACTGTGGCAAGGACTTCGATTAATGCGAATTAAAAACCGTCAGAAAGAGCTCTGAGTGACAGTACAAAGTAGTCTGCTTAGGAAGTTTGTAATGGCATTCGCTGCAGCCACCGTCCCCAAATAATTTAGACTGGTCCTGAAAAGGTAGAACTCACGATCTTATTTTAGACACTTTTTTGGTCGCTTGGTTGCAAAATTTCTGTTCGAATCCAGCCTTTGCCTCATAGTTCCTGATGCATAGCACCTTTCCACTTTCCAGGTTGGACCCTCGGTCATCCCTTGACAACCGTAGTTATGGTTGATGCAGATCCTTGTGGGGTGCTCTGTAGTCATCACGTTAAGGCCTTGTCAACAAAGAGCATGGACGAGTAAATTTTCCGTGGAAGACAGTTATTGGGTAACAGCAATAGAAGTGGCCCTAGGATAAACCAGATGGTGACGACCTCAGCTTGCAGCGAAGTGCCTGTTGAAATGTCTGCCTTCCAAATACGCTTTCGCTTAAGGACGAAGAGGTTTGCGTATGCCCAATAGCGCCATATTTCAAGTGAGGGATGTGGGCGGGATGCTATCAGATGGATTTCCTAGACTCTGGAAGGTAACATGCTGGTTTCACGTTTCCTCAGACTGAAGTCCGGTCGTCCCAGACAGTCAGCACGGCACGTAAGTAATCACTGCTAAAGCCTTGTTGAGCGACGCAAAAAGTGTTTTTTCTGTTGAAAAATGCCTAGATCTCGCCTGCTGTCAGGTTTTTCATTGCCTTAGTCTGAGAAACAAGGCAATGTGTCTATTGTTGTCAGTGCTTTCCTATCTCCTCCCCCGACAACGCGTCACATGGTGTGTCACATGGGGTGTCTGCCGGACTGAAATAAGTGCCTAAAGAGGCCACATTAGTCGGTTGGGCGCCTTAAAGCAGTTCCTCGGGGCCACCAATCTCAGGTCGTTACACCCAGAGAAACTGGCCGGACTAGACCTGGGTAGCCTCTCTGGTACTCCATCCATTGTGAAGGGGATGTAATGCAAATATTCGTGCCCGCTGATCTGTTCCGTGTCACTTCTCATCAGGGTGAATTTAATGTCACGAAACAATAAATTGCACTTCAGGGCATGATCGCTGAATCTCATCTGCTTCGAAACCGTTGGTGGCTTATACGATGCTGACACCTTTGCTGGTCAGTCTTCTTTTCGACATGAAGCAATGCTAGTCTTATGTGTTAGTTTGCACCATTCGTCTCACATTTGGCTTGTAGCTGAACGTGTCTCTATGGGCTGTTGTGTTGCATGGGCTCTAAACTCTTCAGCGGGTCAGAGAAATACTGACTCTTTATGTGCTATGTGCCACTTGAAGTAGACCCGCCTCTGGGTCTAGGGTAGCTCCTCCGTTCCACGCTTTAGTCACGATGTTCTCTTGTTAAATCTGGCGCTTTGAGGGTGATAACAGCATGGATTATCGCCTTAAATTCAGTTTAATTTTCTTTCGTCCTTAAATGTCTATAGTTCCCAGGTCATGATTTACTTGTGAGGTAGCCTGTCATATACTCATAGCTAGCCTTGCCACTCCACGGAAATGTCTTCCGTGTCACTTGCTGCATAGTTTTCCTAGTGGTCATGGGGAAGGTCTTTTCTGCATGTTCGGTGCTACAAAGAGTTGGCTGAACAAACAAGGTAGCTGTAATTAGATCCCGCGCTGCCGAAATGCAGTTCAAACCTGAGGCATCACCATCAGGTTCTAATGCGTGATATCACCCACTTTCTCGCGTGGATCATCTGTCTTTTGTTCCTTAAGCTATCATTTATGAATCTGGTATTGTCACTCCGGCGTCGCAAAGTGAATAGGTGGAGTGCCAACATCTTCGATGATGATAACGCAATCGCAATTTCCATTGGTTTTGGCCAGAAATAGCGCTGTCGGTCATCCCCCTATAGTTTGCAGTGCTAGTCAACGGCCTACGTGCAAGGCGAAGCAGATATTAGATACCATTAGAAGTAGAATAGCGGATTGGGGGTCCTGGGCGCCGACTGATAGCTGCATCACCGACCATTTCTGCCTCTGCACAAACGATTGCACAGAGCGCCACCTGAACGCCGTCTGAGCTTTAAGTCCTTGCGGAACAGCTCTATTTTCAGAGCACATATCCCTTTGCCAGAACACCTGCTGTCGTTCGATCGCCAAATATAGTAGGACCAGGGTTATTTCACTACCTTAGTCTCTCCTTGAGTCTGTCGGAGGAATATATCCGTGGAAATTTTGTAGCTTGGAGTGCTTGACTCACAGGTTCGCATGCCGACTGATCACCGCAGAGTGATCAATCTCGTGTTGTCTAGTCATGAGTGCTAACCGCTCACCATCGATCATTCTACCATATGGTCACTAGACTGAGGGAGCCATAGGTGCAATGAGCTTTGATGAGTGTCAGTTTGTCGTAGGTAGCCAAGGAGGAGCTTTGGACACAGGTTTCGTGCCTGCTAGCACTCGTCAGCAAAGCGCATCTGCAGTGACGAGAGGAGTGGGGTCCTCTGTTAGGATTCGCACTCGCGTCACATAGCGTTGCATTCAGCAACGTTGCTAAGAGGTTCGTCGCTTTGTGCCGGCGTGGAAACCACCAACTGGAGGGATCTTGGTGTTTAGCGCCGAACTTCTTGGTTGGTGAATTTTGACCTATGCCCATACAGCCGTACTGTGCAACTGACGTTGACTTTCCCTCTGTATCATGTACGTCTAGCCTTTGCCAGTAAATCTCATGAGACAAGGGGGATGTGGAGTGATATAGGGACAGTAGAAGACGGCAAGCGGAACGGCCCCGGTGGTGCACTCGCTCTAGTCGCCAGTAGATGATAAAGTTCACGTCTGTCGACCGGCTACTACCACCGTTTAATGTCTTGAAGGAACGTTTCTTCGGCAAAGTGACCGTTTAGCAGTTACAAAAAAACGCGTACGGCCACCTTGGCGTCTCCGTCTGCTTTCGCGTTTGGAGCTTTTCCTTCCCCTCTTTTCAAGTTTGATCCAGATTTAGACAATAATGACAATGTTTGGTCAACATTAGCTAGGGAGGATGTTTTCGGCATCTTCCAAGAAGCCCATAGAAACTCTCGAAGGTAACAATTTGCCTTGGGGCCCTCGGCTGTCTCAACAAGGGTGGCGAAGTTTCACCGGGAGAGGGAGAAGCCACAGCGTCTCCTAGTAGTCAACCCACTTTCGTTCGTTATGGTGCCCTCTCATGTTCGACGAAAAGTCTGACAATTTATTGACGTTAAATGAAGTCACAGAGTTGGCTGCCCTGCTACATTTATCACGGCTGGAGTTCCCAGTTCTCAGTAGGCTTAGTGTGCAATTTTGGTAGTTTATATGAGGCGATGAACCTAAATTCAACCCTTGTTTTCCTTATATTGTTTTCCGAAAGTTTCCGTGGTGCATTCGGAGAGCCTGATGGTTTTTGTGCTGCGAAGATTTGCTGTTAGAGGCAGTTGGTATTAAGTGTAGACAGGATTCTGCATTGTGGGTAGATATACTGGAGCCATTCGGATAGTGGTTTTCTCGTGAAGCCTGAGTACCATGGAAGCACCCTACTTCACAGCGGTAATGTGGCCACGGCTAACATAAGTCATATGATGGAGTTTCAGGTATGACAGATATGACTGTGTCGCAGGTCCTGCGGTAATGAAGTATTCCAAGCGGACAGTGCTTCAGTTCGTGAATAATTGTTCTGGGTTAATATCTTTTTCCTGCTCCTGACGAACGGCTCTCCCTCATTAGAGGAGATGGTGTGGTCTGGTGCCAACTGTGTCTGGGACTGATCCACGGTATAACTGGCCACTGTGGTCGTAATGGGCATTGCAGAAACGGGATATGATCACTCCCTTTGGAAATTGACCCTATGATGAATCTTTAACAAACTTTAGCTGTATTTAGGAGCGCTGCCGTGAGGCATATTTTCCCTCCAGTTGTGGGATCTCGTTATC